AGAGACGAAGTAAACAAACAAGCAGGAAAATGAAACTTATCGCCGTCATTTTTTTACCGACCTCAAAAGAAGTTATCGTGCAATTAATTGATTTATCGTCTATCGCGACAGGCCTATTCATGTGTTCACCAGAATACAGTTTGAATCTCAGAAAACAAATCCTGGTTTTATGAGGAAACCTGTTTGTTTTTTTTTACAGACTTTATTTTGAAAGTCTTGCTTGTTGATGTAAACTGTTTCCTGTTTGTTCAGGAGTCCAGTTTTGCTAACAGGAAGTTGTTGGAGCAGTTAACAGAAGAAGGACAAGAGAAGGAGAAGCTGCTGAGAGAGCTGGATGAAGCCAAGAAGGTTCTCAACAAAACAACATAAATAACGTAACACAAAGTAAACAACAACAACAACAACAGTGTAATAAACAACAGTGTGTGTTCAGACAGCAGAGAAGAGGAAGGCCATGTTGGATGAGATGGCCACACAGCTCAACCAGCTGAAGTCTGACCACAAGGAGGCGCTGTCAGACCTGAAACTACAGCATGAGAAGGAGGTGAAGCTCCTCAGAGCTGCTACTGCTGTACTGCTACTGCTGTACTGCTACTGCTACACTGCTACTGCTACTGCTCCATCTTGATGCTGTTTCTTCTTTACGACTTGTTGAAGTAAATCTTTTCTCTCATCATCTCCTCAGGTTCTGGGGGTCAGAGCTCGATATGAGAAGGAGCTGCGGGGTCTCCACGAAGACAAGAACCGGTCTGAGGAGGAGATCCGCCAGCAGCTCAGAGAGGAGAAGGTAGAGGAGGTGCAGGTGGAGCTCTGGAGGAGGTCAGAACAGCAGAACAAGCTCAGCTCCTGGTTTGTTTTCAGGCTCGGACCAAAGAGCTGGAGGGCTTCCAGCAGCAGGTGGAGGACCTGCAGGCTCAGGTGCAGGCCATGGAGGGGACCAAAGGATGGTTCGAGAGACGCCTCAAGGAGGCTGAGGTTAGTCCAGCAGGAACTGTCAGGGGTTCCTCCCCAGTCCCTGGGTTCTTTCAGAACTTAAACATCTAAAAAGATCTTTTCTGTTGAAGTTCTCACTGTTCCATCAGGAACACCTGCTGACGTCTGTTTATTTGTTTGTGAAGGAGAACATGGAGAAGAACGCTCTGCAGCATCAGGAGGACATCAAGAAGCTGCAGAAACAACACACACTTCAGCTGGAGGTACACACACACACATTAGAGGGCCTCCAACAGTGCGCTTGTATTGTATGTGGTTCAGCCTTTACAGAACCTGCTCTCTGGTGGGTCTAAGCAGGTAGAACATGTCGGTCAGCAGAATGCTGCCGTGGATTATCTCTGGGATTGACTGACAGAAGAAAGATGGAGAGAACAGCTTTTGTTTTGGAACACGAGCGTGCGGTTTAACACGACACGATGAAAGCTGTGATAAAAACATCAAACCTTTTCAGCCATCTTGGGAAAGACAGAACCTCCTGGAGAGAGGTGAAGGAGACCAAGCTGAGCAGATAACCAGGAGGTGATGAACAAACCGATCTCCACTGGTCATATATAAACAGCACCACAACAAACAATACAGATAAAAAGTAAAGTCTGAATGATAAAACCAGCCCACAGATTGAGGGACACACACACCTGAGCAGAACCAAACAGACCTGAACTGAATAGAGTAGAACTGTTCTCCTGGAGAAGGAGCCTGTACGTGCTTATCCTGAATAAAAGTGTTTGTTCCCCCGAAAATCCACTAGAGGGCGCACCAGAACTGAGTTCTACAGAACTTTGAGGTAATCTGGATATAAAAACACATGAACACAAAATGAACCTGTTCTCCTGAAAGAACAAGGGAAAACCAGTGAGAAACAATGAGAACTGGTGAGAACCAGTTAAAGAACCAGTTAGAACCAAGGCAAACCAGATAAAACCAGTTAGAACCAGTGAGAACCAGTTAAAGAACCAGTTACAACCAGTTACAACCAGATAGAACCAGTTACAGAACCAGTTACAACCAGATAGAACCAGTTAAAGAACCTGAGTTCTGGTTTCTGCTGGAACAGAAACATGTGGGCGTGTCATTGTTGGGATGTGAGCTCTGATTGGACCTGTCTCTGATTGAAGGGCAGTTGTTTCCATGGTAACGCAGAGCGGTGACAGCACGTTAACAGATTAATGTCAGCAGGTCCAGCTGATGGTTCTGCTGGTTCTGGTTTCCAGGGTTTCTGTGAACCTGTGCAGAGGGTTGTATGGCCTGCAGGGGGCGCTGCAGCTGTTTGACTGAGCTCCACCTGTGCAGGTAGATGAGTTCAGAGGCTAGAACTTCCTGCCTCAACAGGAAAGAAGAAAAACAACAAAATTAATTAATTAATTAATTAGAGATGAGATTTAAAAAAACACCATAGAGAACAGGAAGTGAAGGTTTGTTTACCTCCTCACCTCCTTCAGGGAACCCTAAAGAACCATCAACAGAACCATCAACAGAACCAGTGGTACCATCAACAGAACCTTCAAACTGAACCTGTTAACTCTGGAGTTTCAAAATAAAACTCTAGATAGCCTTCACAATAAGAGCCTGGCTGTGTCCCAGCTCAGACGGGTCCAGAGGAAGAGGTGACGTCCTGCAGCAGACAGCTGATTGATGCTGCAGCAGCTCGGGGACTGTTCAGGAGGTGTGCAGCAGTTTTTATAATTGTGTCATTAATTAAGCAGCAGGACTCTGGTGGCTGAACGTTGGTGTGAAACGCTCTCAGCTGATTGATCATTAAGTCCACAGCTCTCAGGCTGATAACCAGTAAAATAATGAGAAGTGTCAGAGCGAGTGTAATGAGTTCTGTGAGTTCAGCGTCTGAGAGTTATCTGTCCTCCAACAGCCTGCTGCTCAGCACAAGACCTGCACTTAATGAGAAAACTTCACTAATGCCTCAAAACGTCTGATTAGCTGCTCACCGTGTGCTCAGCTGCTAATCTACTGTCCTTACACCTTGTTTTATTATCTGACTGCATGTCCAACATCTGTCTGTGTCCAACATCTGTGTGTGTCCAACATCTGTCTGTGTCCAACATCTGTCTGTCCAACATCTGTCTGTGTCCAACATCTGTCTGTCCAACATCTGTCTGTGTTCAACATCTGTCTGTCCAACATCTGTCTGTGTCCAACATCTGTCTGTCCAACATCTGTCTGTGTCCAACATCTGTCTGTGTCCAACATCTGTCTGTCTCCAACATCTGTCTGTCTCCAACATCTGTCTGTGTCCAACATCTGTCTGTGTCCAACATCTGTGTCTGTGTCCAACAT